GTGTCGTGTGTCGTGTGTTGTGTGTCGTGTGTTGTGTGTCGTGTGTCGTGTGTCAGGACCAAAGTCAAAATAAAACACAAAAATAATAATAAAATAAAATAATTAAAATAAAAGTAAAATCTAAGTTTTATACAAGACGATACAGAGTTATGTGTGTTGTAGGGAGTATTATCTGTGACATAAGACCTGGTTTAGTCCTGGTTTAGTCCTGGTTTAGTCCTGGTTTAGTCCTGGTTTAGTTCTGGTTTAGTCCTGGTTTAGTTCTGGTTTATTTATTTTGTTTCCAAAAAATGACATTTTTATTCAAGCCGTTTAAAAAGACGAGTCTGTGACACTGCGGCCTCACTCCAGAAGGGCAGGGGCAGAAGGGCAGGGGCAGAAGGGCAGGGGCAGAAGGGCAGGGGCAGAAGGGCAGGGGGCAGGGCAGGGGCAGGGGCAGAAGGGCAGGGGCAGGGGCAGGGGCAGAAGGGCAGGGGCAGGGGCAGGGGCAGGGGGGGGGTGGAGCAGGGAGTGGTTTGGTGTCAGAGCCTCAGGGCGGAGGGAAAGTTTGTAAATGTCAGAAAAGAATGAGGCGTGAAAAACAGAGGGATGAAAGACAGAGAGAGAGAGAGAGAGAGAGAGAGAGAGAGAGAGAGAGAGGGGGGGGGGGGGACCAGCTCCAGAACCCAGACCAAAAACCAGATCAGCCCACGAAATAACATGGACCTGACTCCATCTGCACCTTCAGTCCAGGTCTGGTCCTGGTCTAGTCCTGGTCTGGTCCTGGTCTGGTCCTGGTCTGGTCCTGGTCTAGTCCTGGTCTGGTCCTGGTCTGGTCCTGGTCTAGTCCTGGTCTGGTCCTGGTTTTGGACCCTTCAGTCTTTCGGGCGAGTCTGAGTCTGTTTCTGTTTCTGTGTGACATTTTTCTGTGCGTGACCTTTGACCTTTGGACGGGGCGGAGTTATGTAACAGCGGCAGGACCGGCTCCTGTCATGGCTCGCTTCACTCCTCTGCACCGACAGGTGACATCACCTGTCACACGCCAAAAAGCCAGATGCCCTCCCGCGCCGCCAGCCTGAACAAACACACTCTCCCTGGCAGGTGCACTCTCTGGCAGGTGCGCTCTCTGGCAGGTGCACTCCCTGGCAGGTGCGCTCCCTGGCAGGTGCGCTCCCTGGCAGGTGACAAAGTGGATTGTTAAAAGTGACTCTGACAGAGTTAGTTTCTAGGCCCTGGGGAAGGACACTCTGGGACAGTGTCTCTGGACTGGAGACACTTCAGGTCTCCCAGTGTCGGGAGTAACAGATTACATGTACCAGAGTAATCAGAGTACAAATGATGAGTAACTGTATTCAGTTACAGTTACTGTTTCAGTGAGTGGTAATTGGATTACAGTTACTTTGTTGAAATAAATGGATTACACAGAGGGATTTAACTATTTTCACATTTTGGGCTAAATCCCTTTTTTAATTTTTTTTTTTTTTTTTTTTTGGTAATTCCACTCACTGCCGGAAACTAAACCAGGACTAAACCAGGACTAAACCAGGACTAAAACCAGGACTAAACCAGGTCTAAACCAGTTGTAAACCAGGACTAAACCAGGACTAAACTAGATCTAAACCAGGACTAAATCCTGCTGTGTGGACGTGTTTCTTCTTCTTTTATCAATAATATTTTTAATTTGGTTCAGTAAAATCTGGACTTTTT